AGATTTGATACGTTGGGGATACTTGAAGAAGTATGTGAGTAAGGAGCGAGCTGAGCCCTGAGAAGTTTGCGAAAGAAGACAAAAGGGAACGATCTAGGCGCAAAGAGGATCGTCCCCCGTGATAATTACAATTCATGGAGGACCGAGTGGAAGCCAGTCGGGGCATAAGAGGAAGGCATTAATTCAGGAAGCGACGCATGAGGTATGCACCTCATACTCGAAGGAACCAGTTGTACCGATCCTCTTTGACGAGCAAGACACTGAAGGCATTCACATGCCCCACAATGACACCCTATTGATAGCCCAATGATTGACCATGTGAAGGTCATAAGGGTCCTTATTGATGGCAGAGCTTCGACCAATATACTGGCGTTCTCAACATACTCAACTTTGGGGTGGGAGAGAAAGCAATTGAAGCAGAACCCTACTCCTCTGGTCGGCTTTGCAGGCAAATCAATTAGCGCCGAGGGATGCATCTCACTCCCAGTGACCCTCAACGAAGGGGAGCACCAAGTTTAATAGGGGGGGTATCCAGATTAATATTATCAATTAGAATAATTTATGGTTTTCTTGGTTGTACTAAAAAAATGAAGTATCCAGGCTCCGCTTAGAAAAAACTCAATTTGTAATATATCTATTCTATGATTACTACTTGTATCATATAATTTTTATATAAACTCTTACTTTTCGTAATTTAAAATTTTTGACAACAAGAAACAAAAAATAGTTACTATACATGTTTCTATTTCTTTTTCCAATAAAAAATAAGAAATAGTTATCGAATACAATTTTATTTCTCTYGATTGGAAAAGAGTAGATGAGAAACAACAACATGAAACCAGAAACCAGAATGAAACCAACTTTTAGTTTCTATTTCTAATTTCCAATTTTTAAAACACATAGGTAAAAACTTTGTTTATCATTTTTACTCCGTAAGATGCAGTATATCATTTTTTTACTTGTAAGATGCATTTAATTACAACATAAAAACTAATAATATTTTATTTTCAAAAATTAATTTTCATGTAAAAGTTTTATTGTTTAACCCAAACCCTGACACCCGTTTGATACCTGCTTAGTTTTTAGTTTTTGTATTTTATTTAATTCTTACTTTCTTTCCTCACTTTCTAAAAATATATATTTGTGTTCTTAGCTAACTAAAAAAAACTACTTAAAAACTGCTTAATTTTTTTAGATTTTGAAAATATTTTTAGAAAATAGATAACAAAACAAAGAGAATATATATATAAACATAGTATATAAACTTAATTTTCAAAAACATAAAACTAAAAATAAAAAGTTTATCAAGCAAAACCATAACATTTAAGACAACAAAAACTAATTAAGAAATAGTTACCAAACACATTTTTATCTTTTAATAAAAAGTAGAACGAGTAACTAGAATATGTTATAAATGCAATCTTATTTTATTTCTTAAAAATGAGAAAACAAATTCAAGAATCAAGAAATGAAAAAAATAATAATAAATAAGAAACAAAAAGTTACCAAACTAAGCCTTAAAAATCTACTTACATCACGTAAACATTATATATAATCACTTAACACAGAGCAGAGCAACCGATAAAGTATAAAGAAAACAAAATATCATTCGACAAAAGGAGGGTTCAACAAAATATCAATAATTATTATTATTGTTTTTTAAAATAGAAAAAAATTTTAAACATAACTTCTGAATAGCTTCCAACCACCTACATTTAAATATTTGGTCGTGGGTTGAACAAACTCAAAAGAAATGGTTAATGGTCCACTTCCCAATTAATTTCAATCTTGTTGACCCTACACACAACCCTAATGCTAGTGCCCTACCCTATTATTGTGGATGGTTTGTTATTTTACATCAAATTAGGTTGTGGTACCATCATCTCCCAAAGTGGACCTTCCATGTCCGTTTGCTTTATTATACTTTTCTTTTGTGTCTTTGTGATTTTAAATGCATTGAATTATAATGATTTCAGTTATTAATAATGTTGTTGTTTTCTCAAAATTGTCTCGAATGATAGTTTGGGTGGCTTGTAGCTTTAAAGAATATCCTTGAGGTCTTGGGTTCAAACCAGCCATAAGAAACGCAACTCCATCCAGCAATGACCTCTTGTCGATAGATGAGTCGTTCCATGAAAAATATATTAAAATTTTTTTTGGACAAGTGGATGTATAACTTGAACACGCCACTTGAAAGAAATGGACTTTGTTGATACATGGGTCGGATTTTAATGATGGATAGGTTGAGTTTTATATATGTCAAGTAACTCTTAGGTGACATATTTACCTGTCTAGATATATTAAATAAAACAATAATTTTATAATACTATTATTGACAAAATTATAAATTTTCCAAAGCGAGCATAGATCAACGCTAATTGGCATATATTTTAAACCAAGAGATTGTGCTACATCCCACGTGTCAATACAAAAAAAAATTATATATATATATATCCACACACCTTAAAATTGACCCAAAAGTGTATGCAAAGAACAAGGGGTCTTGCCTTTCGCAATTGGGAACTCCCACAAATGTTTGTCCCATGCTTCATCTGGTAATGACAACATAAACTTGGAGCCCTCTATGTCACTCTTTTTTTCTTTCCTTTTTAAGGGCCATGTCACCCATTTTAAGGGTTAGTTCATTTGAGATGTTTCTTGTCGAATGAGAATTGACAATGGCGTTATACCACAAAGTTTCATGTCCTTATCAATAAGGCTGCTTTAGTTTTTGTTGAAATCTTTATGCTTTCTCAAAGTTTCATTATCGTCTTTGTCTCCTAAATCGATTAATATGAAAGTAGCAAAAATCTAATGTACTAGTTATTTGAATTTGTGTTCAGAAATGAGATACCGAAAAGTAGTAATAGAAATTATTCATCACTCCCCAAGCGAAAATAATGTCTTAAAACTTAATTCAAGTTGATGTTTTTCAACCAATAATATTACTTGTTATGCTCCAAATTATTAAAGCAAAACATTACATCATAAAAACTCATGACATACTAGTCAACATAAACTCAGCGATAATTGACATATACTCCTTCTTTTGAGGCCGGAAGTTCAAACTCTCGTACACCCAACTTGTTGAACTAAAAAATAAAAAATAAAAATTTAAAAATAAAACTCATGACAAACTCTTCATTACTTGTCATACTCCTTGAACTTCTATTATTCTTTAATTATAATGGTAGAGATGTCCAAAACTTTAATAAAAAATAGGAAGATGGAAATGAAAATTTCGAAAGTATACTAATCAAATTAAAACTAAGGTTAAGGTCGAGGCACTAAAAAGATAATTTAACTATTTCCAATGGTTTTTGTTTTGTAAGACATATTTTTCATCATCAAACTATTTACCAACTCGTATAAAAACATGAAAAGTATTACGTTAATTTGAGAGAAATACATCGTGGAGACAAAACTAATCTTATATGAGTAATTGAATATATAATAATCAAGAAAACGGTAGAAACTGAACAAAATCAGACTAAATATGCTGAGAAATTACTTGATTATTATTTTGGCAGTGTCACATTGTTGGTAGCATAATTTGTAGGGCAATGGTTAATTTAAAGATATAATTATAATTAGAGTCAACCTACCCAGTCATGTGATTGAAAATATGAGAAGATAAAGCATAAGACAGTATGTCTAATTCTCGAGTCTTTTTCATTGTTCAACTAACAATTTCATTATCAATATTGTCAATCTGAACATAGTTCAATAGATTAAGGTACTTGTATCTTGACTAGAATATTGTGAGTTCGAATTCGCAAATAAATAACAACTTCATTTCTAAGGCAATGGAGAGTTATTTATATCCAACTCTCCTGTGGGGTCTCAAGTGGGATTTTAATGCACCCTTTTCCTTCCAAGACATTGACAAACCATTAAGCAGGGTCGCCTCTCGAGTATTTTTCTCTCTCTAATTTATTTCTTTTCCAGTAACATCTTTTTCTCTGTCAAAATGACACACCTCTTTCTCTTGTCTCTTACATTTTGTTTCTTATCTGTCCAAACTAAACTATTTCTTCATGTATGTCTAATTTATATATATATATATATCTATATCTATCTTTTTAAGTTAAAGGTATTAAATTTTCGTTATTAACATAGGGGTAAATAGTGTTAAAAAAAACAGTATCCATAAAATATCACTTATATGGATATAATATTAATATTAATCATTTTTAACTTGTTCAAAATCATAAAATTTATACTTATTTGTAATTTAAATATTCTTTATGAATTTTTTACTTTTATAATCTTTCTAGAAATATCTATCGATATCGACATTGTACATCAATATTTTTAGGAAATTAAGACCAAACCTTTTGTTTATTGTACCCGTTTGTCTGCTCATGTTTTTTAAATATTTCTCTAACTTTATGTTTGTTTTTTATAATCTCTTTTAACATATCTCTCCTTAATTATATACTTGATTTTTATAAATTGATCGTTATCATCAAGTAGTCTTGGCTTCCATTTATTTTTATAGAAAAATAGAAAACATTATAAATATTTTTTGTTTTTTGGTTTTCTATTTTCTTAAATTAAATACTAGAACTTGTTTTTAGAACAAAGAAGACCAAAAACAAAAGCATGTCACTTAATTTTTAAGCATATATTCTTTTATTATTGGCTTCATAGGTATAATAGCGACCTATCAAAAGAAGCATGATAATAGTTATCTATTACATATTATTTGTCATTTTTCATCTGGCAAATCAATTAATAGAATGGGTAGGATAGTTAAAATATTTTCAAAATTATGGAAATAGAATATCTATAACTTTTTTTTTCTTTTAGTACAAGAATATCTAGAACTTATGGAGGACAATAAAAGTTGCAATGTGAGATTTTCAGTTAAAGTTTTTAATGTAGCAACAAGACAATTGAAATTTGTGGATTCCCTTTTTCTTTACCTCAAAAAGGATGACATTTGGGGTCTCTCTTGAGCCAACTTAATGCTTTGCAATTGTTAAAACTTTTCCAGACACTTCAAATCCCAACTTTAAAAGATTGGCCCATTTTCACGAACATTTCCAACATGAGAATCAATTCAGATTTTCCTTTTTCTTTTTTCTTTTGATCTGTCAAAGAAAAATCAGAAGATCCTCTTGTGGAATCAAGCTAGTTCCCACACTAAGTTATTCATCAAGATACAAAATTTTGTTGGGGCTATTCTGTTGGAACTAAAACTTATACACTATCTCATTTGCAGTTTCAAATTTATACAAAATCACACACTTTATACAAATTGCTGATATCTTTTTTAGAAAACTCTCCCATGAGATTGTAAAAAGACTTGAAATTCCAGCTCCAAGCTATTGATCAACCAGTGCCACCCCAAGCTAAATAACTGTCTTCCGATTCGAATTCCTGCATAGAAAATTATTACGCGATGGCCTTTCGATCCTTACAAAGCAATGTAGAAAGAAATAGTAATGGAGAAACAACTCACAAGTTCGCTAAGTCGAAAATCGGGAGGTGTGTCGAGTTCTATATGCATGGGATTGAGTACATAGTTCTGACACGCCTCCAAATCCTTCTTTAGGTGCTCTGATCCCAGGTTAGCGTAGTCAAGAAGGATGGCTTTGCTATTAGACGCTCCATGCCCGTTATTGGCATTTTTGGGCGACTGGCTTTGAAGGAGGTCGTCACATAGCGACAATGCCTCGACGAGTTGTTGTGAATCCAATAGATCTTGTGACTCGCCATCCCACCATTTTACTTTCTCTCCATTGTGATCTTCCTCTTTCACTTGTTCGCTGTGATCCATGTTATCATATTCGGTTGGAATATTGTTTGCAAACCCGGCCTCAGCATGCTTTAAAGTTAACAGGGCAAAATGTGAAAAGCTATGACATGATGGACACAAAGCTTCTATTGAGACGAGCAACCACGGTACTCGTGTTTGCCTAACAAAAACAAACTCTAGTTTGGATAAAAGACTACTAGAAGTATAGCCAAGTTACATTATAGGCATCTGAGGATGATGACAATGCAATGTCAAATAATGTACCTTCAAATTAAATGGTTTTGATAATTCAATGTCAAATAATGTACCTTCAAATTAAATGGTTTCGATAAATTATCAAAACCAATAGACCAAGTGTTTTCTAACTTCTATATTTCTTCGGCCATGCCAAGATGTTTTATTCTTAAAAATCATTAAATGAACTAAGGAGAATAATATATGATTCTAAAGATGGATATATAATAATTCAAAGATATAATCTAGATCTACACGACTTCTCCTCATCTAAGTTATTTTGTGTTCATAGTTCCAACACTTCCAAAGCAATGAGATTGAATGAGAGCAAAATAGAGTTAAGCATAAAGTTTAACCTGATCCAAATGATCTATCCAAGCGACATTCTGTCCCCGGTCAAAGATCACATAGTTCTTCCCTTCCATTCGAGGGGGCCCAGGAGTTACAGATTTGGGAGTAACTGGATCGATCTTTATAGTACCTGCATCATTACCTTCAGGAATATCTTGATAAGATTGGTCACTTATATTCATTTGTTGCTGCTGCTGGTAATATATCTTTGAAATGACGTACTCTCCATCCTTTTCGGCCTCGTCCATTCCAAGGTGATATTGATGCATAACCCAATTTGTTTTCTCAGACTTCCCCCCTTTAACAGAGCTCATGTATAGAACCATAATCTTCTTACACCCTCTTTGTACCCCATCCAACATGACAGGTTTGGTCTTCCCTGTCTTGTGCCAGCGGACATCGCCGAAATCAGCATCATTTATCTTGCGACGCTTTCGAGTCCCGGTGTTGTAAGCCTTGATTGCTCTGTGAAAGAAATGGGATGTGCTACCGTCTTTCTTCACGTCTGAACAGATTAACTTACAAGGAAAATCAAGGAGTTGTCTAGGATATTCTAAAGAAAAAAAACGTGTAAAATGAATCGCTCGTTACCAACCTGGTAGTTTTTGTGGATGAGTATAACAAATGCCATCATCCTCACTAACTGTTGGAATAAACTCATTAATAAAAGGGTGAGGCTTTGGTTCCCCAATGCCAACTTTTGCAAGTAAATGTAGAATGATCTCTTGATCTGAAGGATCAAATTTTACACCTCTGGGCAATCCTGGCCACATTTGAGCAACCTGGAGGCAGGTAACAGGATTTCAGATCCAAGTACTCTCAACCGGTTTCTGCTCTAATTGGAAAAAGTAATTAAATAATAGCTAAATTATATGATGCCCCTAACGTATGTAGTTAGTTTCAACTTTTGTCTTTTTAACATTTTAAAAGTTTCAATTCTATCTCCCGATCTTTTAATTTTTTTAAAAGAAAACCTCTCATTAGTATAATAGGGTAGATTGAAACTTTAAAAATGCTAGAGGCAAAATTGAAACAAACTACATACGTTAGAGGCATTTTGTAAAATTTAGTTACGATTCCATTGTTCTCCTAATGTTTTGAAAGTTTTAATTGTACCCCCAATATGTTTATTTCATAATGCATTTTGACAAAATTTGCTAACGAAGGGGCTTTTTATTTGAAAAGAAAAACAGACGAAAAGATTGAAAAAACGTCCAGTATAGCTAAAACAAGCTACACACATAAGAAGGTCATTTCGTATAATTTAACCTTGCATAATTGAGTTTTGAACAAGAAGCCTCACATTTTGGTTTATTTGAAAATGCAAGAAAAAAATCATGGGTGAATACCAAATACCAAAGGCAAAGGACTTGTTTCAATAACCAAGATCCAAGACCAACTTTTGAGAATTGGTAATAGTAACTCATCAGAATTTATCAAGAAAAGGGTTAGAAGCAATACATCACTATTATCAATCAGATGTTGGCAACTTGGACAAGGTCTAGTAGGGTTGCTTTCCCATTCCAATCTTCCGGGATTCGTCGTGCCAGACGCACTCTTGATTTTTGTCGCAAATCTATTACCATCTACCAACCATGATGATCTACAAATAAAGGAAATACACTCTCAGAACTGAGAATCAACAAAAGGGATCAACTGCGTTGTAGAGGTAACATATATGAAGCATTTGGTGTAAGCCACCAGTTTCACCACTAATCTAGGAGACAATATATGGAAAAGGGAGGTTTTATCTAGTTTTGCAATATTCCTATGAGAATTGAATGCAGAAAATGCAATCTAGTGTGGCCAGATTGTTTAATGGGGAAGGGGAAGAACATTAAACTGGTTTACATTACTTTGCGCCCGTTTGATGACGTATTTCTTTTTGGTTTTCTGTTTTTTACATTTATACTTATTTACTAACCATTTTCTTCGTATTCTAATTTACTTACGAACATACTTTTGAATGTTCCAGCCAAGTTCTAAAAATTGGAAAAGAAAAAAAAAGTTTCCGAAAACCTTTTTTTTTTAGTTTGTCCAAGGTTTTAAAAATGTTTTCAAAAATAATACAAGGAAACTTTTTTTTTTTTTTGTCGTGGACAACGTATGGGGGTGTGGGTTCGAACTCACAACCTCTTCGTTGGAAATATGTATCAATTACCGTTCAATTATGCTCACTTTGGCACACAAGGAAACATATTTCTAAGTAGTTTTTAGATTAAATTACAAGTTTGGCCAAACTTTTTCAAGGTTGTGTCTATTTATTCCCTTTACTATAAAAAGCTTCTAATAGGTCCTTAAACTTTCAAAATTGTGTCTTTTTGGTCCCTGTACTTTAAAAAGTTTCTAAATAGATCACTAAACTTTCAAGGTTGTGTCCTTTTGGTCTCTGCACTTTAAAAAGGTTGTGTAATTTTGGTCTCTACACTTTAAAAAGTTTCTAAGTCCTTGGTCTTTCAAATTTGATTGTTTACTAGGTCTCTATCAGTAACTCCATTCACTTAAATTTGCACCACCAAAAACCTAAACGTGCTTGAAATCAACCTGCGACATGATCCTTAAATAGTATAGTCTCCATGGCTCGTAAATGTTAAGCTAATTTTTTTTTTAAGTTAACGAAATAACGACGAGGCTATTAGTCACAAAATTTAAAGTTCAAGAACCTCTTAGGAATTTTTAAAGGTATATTGACCAAATAAACACAAACTTGAAAGTTCATCGACTTAAATGAACACAATTTTGAAAGTTAAACTTGCACTTTAATATAGTTTACGTAAGCTTAATTTGTAAGCACTGAAAATCAAAAACATAATCATTATCAAATTGACGCTTGTAATCCAACCTTGCATCATTTACAAGAAGAAGCTCTAGTTGATTTAAACTTACCAAAACAAAACAAAACAAAAATGAAGAAGAAAACTAGCCTTTAAGTTTGATCAAATCCACTTACTAACTGATTGTCCAATATAACATTGATGACAAATTCTTATTTCGACATTGATATAATACTGGAAAAATATTCTAAACCAGCAATTCTTTTGGTCTTTCAGTTTCAATAACTAGTCCATAAACTCGGGAAGGAGCAGGTAAATATGAAAGTAGCTCAATCAAATACACTTCCCCCAAATGTTTTAATCCAAAAGATCAAAGATAAATAACAAATAAGTTTGATCAAAGTTTCAACGACTAACTGATTTCAAAACCTTGTTTTGTCCCTAAACTAGCAGGAACACAAGAAAGGAGCCCAGCCCCAATACTGCCTCAAAAGATTGTCCCCCACCAAATGAACCCAACTTCTCAAGAAACCCATGTGCAAACCTTGATAAATGCTCAGTAATTTGAAGCTCGATGACGAAATCCAGAAGAAAATAGAACAACCCAAGTGAAAAATGAGCACAGAATATTCAGTAGACTAGACATTAAGAGGTAAAATGGATGAAACCCAAGTAAAATAAGAGCATGAAATTGAGAGAAATGAAGTAAAATGTGGTTGTAAGAAGCGATTGATGGGTAAAAAGCGTACCCGGCCATGAGAAATTGGGAGGGAGAGAGCTGTTCCTCTTCAGCTGTTGGTGGAAGTAGGAGTAATTGGGTTTAAATTTGAAAGGCGCGTTCTGAATCCTCTGATGCTTGTTTCGGGGTAGTTTCTTTGTGGTCTTTTTTTTCTTCATGCCTTTTGCTTTTGGGGAAGCAACAAGGGGAAATGGACTCAAATGACCTTTCCAAGTTTGTGGAATGCTCAAATAACCTCTTCCTTTTATTGTTTCCTCAACCCACTTGAATATTAAATTAATTTTTATAGGTAGCGAAATTACTATAGTACCCTTCGTTCAAAAAATTGAACTGTTCTAACTTCCCCACTTCTCTCCATTTTCAGTCGCCGTTGGTCTTCTCCTTCTCCATTCGTCTTCTCCTTTTCCGTTTGCGTGAGTCGTCTTCTCCTTCTCCGTTCGCATGAGTCGTCTTCTCCGGCTCCGTCTCCGTTCAAAATCGCTCGAGGTAAGTTCAATTTTTCCACTGTTCCGTTGGGTTAGGGCTACGTTTTTTCATGTTGAATGGGTTTTTTTCCGTTGATTCTTGAACACCAGCATTGTACCTTGTTGACCATGTACATGAATGAGTGATTTCGCTGTCCGATTTTACTTTATTTTGTTCGTTCCATTATTGGGAGGTCGTTCTGCTGTGATTTCCTTCTTTGTTGTTCTGTTGAAATTTATTTTTGAGCTGAAATTGAGTTTTGAGGTATGTGGGAGGGAACCATTCTAAGTGTGTTGGGAGGTTGAAGAAGGAGGAGAGCTCTGCCATTTTTCTCGGGTCGATCTCGGGCGAGGTTGAGCACGAGGTATTCGTCAGATGCTTGAGGCTGAACTTCGAGGTTCCTCGAGGTAAGCTCGAGGTTGGATTTCTTTCAAGTACCTCGGGTTGACCTCGAGCGAGGTTGAGCCCGAGGTATTTGAAAGAAATCCAACCTCGAGCTTACCTCGAGGTTGAGACTATGCTGAATACATCGAGCATAACCTCGCCCGAGGTCAACCCGAGAAAAATGACAGAAGCTTACAAACATTGAGCGACTTTACATATTTTTGTGTAGTCTATATTCTGTGAAATTTCTCGGGCCCGATCTTACCCGAGGTTGTGCCCGAGGAAAATTACAGAATGTAAATTTTGTTAACAGTAATATATATTTTGCCCGAATTATTTAGTGAGTTATTAAACAGTGTTCATTTCTGACCATATATGGTTTAGTTTAGTGTAAACTTGATGGTTTGAATCTGAGTGTAAATGTTTGTGTGTATTTACTTATAGGAAATGGATTTGGTATAGGAGGCAACTTGCTTTTCAACTTTGGGTGAATTAGATCTATTTTTTGATATTCCATTAGAATTGTTTTCTTATTTTGTACGTAACTTAGTTAAATTTGATAATACGAATGAATTTAAGTATATTGACTATGATTTAACAGGGACTCGTTTAGATACATTGAGACAAAACATCAATTATTAATGGAGTTTACGACTGCGTTTTCAATATTGGGATCATTCTAATCTTTATTTCTGAAGAACATTGTATTTTACGGTCGAGGTAAGCTGGTTCACGCTCGAGGTTTTCTGCACAACTGAAAAAAAATACCAATCTCGGTATCTACCTCGACCGAGTTCGAGCCCGAGAATATTGGCAGAACTGAAATAAAGAACAACCTCCATATTAAATGTACAGAACATTAATCTTTATTTTTGTAGCTCATTGAATTTTACGATCGAGGTCGACTATAACTTGGTCGAGAATTATGGAATCAAGAAAAATATGCGGTGGCAACGTCCAACACGAGGAACAAATTTTGGTGGCTTAATCGTCCTCGGCACGTAGTCATCCGGTAAAATCCAATATTCTTCGTCTCCGACAGGGGTACACGGGTTCGGCGTAACCAAGTATGAGGGTTTCGATTCGGTACCATTTTGTTCTGCATTATAAAGCACAATTGAAAGACAATTACAGATGGAATATATATATATATATAATATACATCAACCTCGGGCGGGAAACATATTTTCTCGCTCGAGATGGAGTTCAATACGCAGCCAAGCCCGAGGTAAGTTTCACAAACATTCCGTTTTGAAAACCTCTGACCCTGGTCGAGAAAGTTTAGTACCTCGCCCAAGGTTCATCAAAAACATGAATCTCGGCCAATAATCATATCACCTCGCTTGAGAATAACCCGACAATTAGAACGCATAGTGCAGGAGGAATGAACATATGTGTTTAAAACAAAATAACAATAGTTATTGTTACTCCGACTGTAACAAAAATAAACCAAACGAGGATCAAATAAAAACACGTGTTCAAATGTAGAATCAAGCAAGATTAACGCGCAAAAGGAGAAAGCATAAAAAATAAAGAACTACTTCTCTCAAAATCTTGAAACTTATAAAGAGAATATTCACAATACTTTTCAGATTTTTTAGGATTGTGCAGAGAGAATATTTACGATAAGGACATATGTTCTCTGGGATTAGTAATGGCATGTACTGATTACTAACGTACAAGTCGGTGTGCATTAAATTGGTTTTGCCATGCATTGAAGCTACCTCGGGCGGGAATTTTTCTACCTCAGCCGGGAATTATTCCAGCGGTCACCTGTTACATTTAATGGCATTTTGGTCATTTCACCTACTTCTGACACATCATAAATGTTAAAAGTGGGTCATTTGGGCATAATTAAAGGGGTGGGTCATTTGAGCATTTCAAAAGTTTTTGGAGTTCATTTGAGTCAATTTCCCCAATTTCCGTCGTCGGCAATGCTTTTGATGCCCTCTGGGGTCGACGGGTCTTATCCAACGACTAGGGAGTTGACTAAATGTCTGCTGACGTGGTCGCTTCTTGTTCAAAGTTGACAAGTCAAACACACCCCAATTTAATTTAATTTTATTATTATTTTTTTTGGAAAGAGTAACAATTTTGATCTCCAAGTTTCAATTTGATGAGTTTTCAAAATTGATATATAGTTTATAGTGTGTCCCAAATTTAAAAAGTAACACTTTTTGAAGTTTGAATTTCTATTCAGTCAACCGTCTAAAAAATGTCAAATTTTGATTTAGTCCTTGGGTTCCATTAATCATGAGTTGAGCCCTACCTCCTTTATCACTGAGCGGTCATTTAGGGGTCGTAGCTGGTGATCCGGGTTATTTCCCTTTAGAAAAATATGACATGGTCGCTAACATGCTAAAGAAACTTCGGAGGGAATGAGAGATTTTTTTGCCATTGGCAAGACCACCAACTTCTTCAAGTGGGTTGAGGGGTATTTGATGGGATATGAATCCTGAAGCGGAAGCGGATCATTGTTCATGGTTTTTGAGAAATAAAATCAAACATCTAATAACGAAAATACAGGGGAAAGAACTTTTCTTTTACCTTTGAAGAACACTTCTTCAATGGACTAAATCAACGAGCACCACCACCGAATCTTCCGAGCTATCCTCTTGGATCTCGAGATCGTGCTTGTGGGAGCATTTCTTTGGAACGAGAGGGAGAATTGAGAGAGAGCCTTGATTGAGAGAGTAAGCTTGCTTGAGAGTTTTTTCACGTTCTGTTCTGTGCACAGCAGAACTCTTCTGCAAAACACAAAAACAAAATTATGACGTGAAGAGTTACCCCACGACATAAAACTCCCAACTCCCCTGCTAAAATGCATGAGAGTTAGACATTAATTATTAATTAATTAATAATATTATTAATTAATAATTAATATAAATATAAATATATATATATAATTTATTAATTAATCATATTAAGTAATAAATCATAATTAATTATTAATCCAATTAACAATTAATTAACATATATATATAAATCAAATAAATAATTAACACTTAATTATTTATTAAAAAAATTAGAATCATATTCTAAAACATATTCTAAAACATTTCTCTCCTATAACCAATAGTTGTAATGTACATCTTATGCACATTATTTTTAACCTATAATTTTAATATGAATCTTATTCATATTAATTTTAGTTGAATCTCATTCAAATAATTTCTCTCCTAATATATAGTTTTAATTTAGAATTAACTATATATTATAATGTATCAATATACATATATTCCCTTAAGCAATTTGAATAGTTCAAATTCTTCCAAAAACTTAATTCTCGTTTTACACATTATGAGCTAGCAAGGGGACCTAATGGACCTACAGATCAGAAACTCCAACGATACTAGATTAATCGGTCAAACACATTGACCGAGTTAATCAACATTCGTTAACTACGGGTCACTCCACTAAAGACTCGCAGTTGCACTCTTCTCACTGCAGAATGTTTTCGTGTCCACGGATATACGACCATTAATGACAATTTAATCCTTCACGAGTGCTCGTAACTCAAGCTAAATTATCGTTTTACCCCTGAGTTACATCTTGCTCCCTAAATACCACTGCTCCTCTAATGAATAACCTGGTTATGGTCCAACCAATAACCGGAAGTCCCTCTCGGGCCAATGAGAGGGTAGGACCCCTTGTTCAAGTCCCGAAGTTAGTAATTAAGAGAACGCTCATCTACTCCCCTAAAGTCGGAGATGAGTGAATTCCATCTTGTGAAGTTATGTTCTCAGCTCCCCACTCGGTCTCGTCCCCAAAATGGTAGGAATATTGAATCAGCAACTCGGGCCACTCTCACCCATACAGATCAAAGGACGAGCCCTCACGAGCAGGAGTCCATAACTCACTCAAGATTGAGAATGAGTTGTCTGGTCATCCTATGAAATATCAATCTATTAGTCAACGGCGTTATATCTAAAGATTGGCTATTTCGCAGTTCGGTCCTATACAAACTCATTGTATAGAATAACCCCACTCACATGTCTCCAAACGAACGACCTGCATCGAGTCGTCTATAACATTTACAGAGTGGACCGTATCCATAGTGTTGCCAAGATAAGGTTCCCAACCTTATCCATATACTATAGACCATTTAAGTTATTCACAGGATATTATCCACTTGTATGTCAGGGGTATATCAAATATATACCTCGTATATCAGGGGTATATCAATTATATACCCAGTATATCAAATATATACACAGTATATATACTGTCCCGATACATGATAATAACCTTGGATGTTTAGTTTATTGGATTTTAGACAATCAATGCTATGAATTCAACAACAAATTTATTGAATAAAACTTTATTGAATATACATTTGTTTTTACATAAATACAAACTACGAGTTTAAGACAACACATCCAACAGTATTGTCATAGGATCAATAATCTATGTTAATTACCATATTATTTTTTCATTAATTTTAATTTACAGTCAACTAAGCTAATAACCAAATAGAAACCAATAATTCAAATCTCATAAGATTAAACACGTCACCTCCAGAACCTCAATAACAAAATAGAAGCAAAATCTAACTCTTAGGACCAAAGGAAAACAAAATTCAAACCTAACGAAACATATCTATTTTGAAACTTCAAGAACTAAATAGAAATCAGTTCAAACCTCAAAGACAAGATAGAACGAACCCCTAATTAAATTTAATAAATGTCTTGCTCTTATATGGCTTAGAAATGGTCTCTAAACAAAGTTTTTAATTTATCCTTAGTCATCTTAAACCACCTTAGATTCAAATAAATCAAATCCTAAATGGCTCATTCATTGTCCTCAAATAAATTGAATTTGAAGCTAATCAACTCCATTTTAATTATTAAAAATCTATATTTCTTATAATGTAATGCATACGTTTCTTTCTGAGCAAATTTTCAAGTATTATACAACAATTTATAGAAACTAATTAGTGCAAGCCGCCTCTTCATAAGAAAATATGACATTGAACTAAAACTAAATTAATGATACATGCCAATATGTAGCTCAACAACACCTGTGTCTAACCAAGAGGTTACGAGTTCAAATCCTCCACGCTATTTGTTGTACTAAAAAAATTAAAGATAAATGACTCAAATAAACCCAGTTCAAATATTAATTACATTTGAGATGACCAAAATAAGCTAAACATTTTAGTGAATGTGGCAATCTTGGTTGAAAGGATCATTTCTCATTCAATTACAGTCCAAATCATAGTGTTCATATCAAAATGAACTCTACACTCAGTGAACTTTCAAATTGTATATAAATCAAATGTTACACACTGTTGATGCCTGTCCCATCTAAAAAATCACAAGCAACAATCCAGCGCTTCTAGTTCTGTTCTACCAAACATCATTTACAGGCAGTCGTTCTTCGATAGATTCCCGACAGATTGGGCATCGATTACACTTCTCACAGCAAGTGCTGAAATCCCATTTGACAAAAACTCAGTCAAATTGACAGCAAATTCTCAAGTTAAAGCCAAAAGGGAAGGAAAAAATTACCTGCAGAGAATGTGATGCCTACAGGGAAGAAGAACCATATCAATATCTTCATCAAAGCATATTCTGCAAAGAATCTTTTCCTGAAAGATTCAGGAATTTACAATTTAATAAATTTCTTCAAGAAAATAAAAAATTTATCACTCTAATTCCCTAACTAATTTATGCACACCTCAGCTAATTTCACGAAGAAGCTACATTTTGAGATTGAAAAACAATCTTAAAATGTGTAAGTTTAAAGCTTGTCCTGGAGTCTATTGAGCCAAACAGTATCAAATTCAACCTCATTTGATAACAATTTCCTATTTTACAATTGGGGTTCTTATTTTTGGTTTCTGACAAAGAAAAGGTATTTGAGGTCGGCTTTTTATACGAAACATTTTTCAAATTATGAAGGAAATTGGTTTTCATTTCAAACTTTTAATTTAAAGAGAAAAAAACAATAATCAGCGCTGTTCACTTCGGTAAAACATTTATAGGTTTCCATCCATGAAATAACAGCTTCTCTTTCTCTGATATGTAAAACATAGCACAGTATTAAGCAAGCAGAGAAATAATCAAGTCAGAAGAAGTTACATTAAGAATTTTTTCATGCTCCTGTCGGCTGAATTTCGTAACTTCTGTCTGCTGGTTTAATGCAGCTTGTAATCTCCATATCTGGAATGAAAAACAAAAATTAAAAATCCAATATTGGCAAAACACTTCAGAAACAGATTAGTTTCCAGCTAATTCATTTGACCAGAATGTAATAGAAAATTTTAGGCCCCAAATTAGTTGATATTTAATATGCCCGCTTTAATCAATATTTATCACAAATCTATCAGTAAATACGCAGGAACAAGAAGTAAGCGTTCAAAGCAGAAACAGCTTTCTTTGTGGGGAAAGCAACTTTGGTTTATTTTGTGGGGAGGGCGACCTCCAACCTCCACCTCATGCTATGCTTATTTCTTGAGTTTTAATACGAAATGTTTCTTATAAAAAAAAAAAAAAAACAGCTTTAGTTACCTCATCAACGAGTTTGGATTTGGTCATTTTCTTTACACTCTCTGGTGTGAAAGTATCGTACCTAAATTATAGCAGTAAAGACAGGGATGAGAAAGAGAAAATAATAAAGACTATATTGTTTGTATCAAGGACAAGGAAAAATAATTAGGCATACATACAAGTCCTTCAAGTAAAGCAAAATTTCTTCAATCACCAATAAAGATGTAATTTAGATATCACAAACATGGAAAAGTTATAATACGCTCCTCTAGATTATTAACTCAATGACAAAACTGGACAGACCCATAAAGAACCAAATCATTAGGAGAAAAAAAAATGAAACAAAGCAATTTCATAATTTTGAGACAGAAACTAACATGCACAATGCACCACCAAGAATCTGCTTCATCGTTATGGACATAGATCAGAACTGACTGCTAGTTAGCTAGTGAGAATGTTGTAACTGAATGTTAATTATCACCCAGAAGATCAAAATATAAAAGGATTGTTTTTGGTATCAAGCAAAGAAAATTCATCAATTTCTTTTCATTTCAAGGTACTTCACATGTCAATCGAGAATATGGTTTGAATCATTCATTCATTGCAGATAAAAGAGACCCTATAATTTAAACTAGATACGCCTATCAATGTAATGATTAAAAAGTAAGAATGTACGGTAGATATAAAATCACCTATATTGAACATAAGATTCCTACCAAATCACCTATATTGAACATAAGATTCGAGGAAGCTGGTAATTTGCTTTCAACTCATGGATCAACTTCAAGAAAGTTTTTATAATGTAAAGAATGGGGCACCTTGATACCCCGGTTATCAAAAAGACAACAGGAAACCAAACATTGAATTAAATACTTATACTGAGAATCAAATTGCGGCAAGTAGTGTCGAAAACAAACCCAGAAGCTCCAGAATAATAAAGTTTAGCTTGCTCCTCTTGACTACCTTCATCAATTGACCACCAACCTAGCAACCTGCAAATAATCAAGTAATTGATTATGAAATGAAAATATCTACAATCCTGTAAAGTTTACATTCAATTTAAGTTTCATAAGTGGGAATCAACTTAAGAAAAAGACCAAACTACAAGAAGTTACCTCGATCCATGATGCATGAATCCTAAAAGTTCACGAGCCTTTGATCTTAGGTCAAGGTATCTTACAGAAGTAGGAGCACCAAACAATAAAATTAAAATTTTTTCCATTGATCTATATGCTGCAAATATGAAACCCACTCCTTGCAGTAAGAAAAGAGGAGAGAACAGAGCGAGACAAGGAATATATGAAGAACTCCTTGGGGTTCCCTGAAGTTGAAAGTTTTTAAATGAGAAATCAAGAAGCTAAAGAACTTTCTAATTTGTATGCACTTTTGAAAATCAAATTTACCTCTAAGCGCATAAAAAGCAGGATTTGGAAAATGATAAGAGGAACCTTCATGATGTGTCCACCAATATCCTGTAGGTTACAAACTCTTACTTGGTGCCGATCCTCGTCAGAAGAAACCACCACACCTCTACCCCAGTCAAGGTATCTAATAGTCAGCGAAGATGAACTTGATTCTCTAATGAGAGAGTGCCTATGAATCATAGGATTATACCACTTCGTGCAAACAAGAAATGCAAAGCACTCAGCTATACTGCAGATTTTTAGGGACGAAACTTTTTTACATGAGAAATTCTCAAGAACAAAAATTCAATATGCAAGGAAAGAAAAATAAATGTCAATAGATTCAAACTCAAAGCCACAGTTACCAGAAATTTATAAATAAATCCCACCAGCCCAAAGCTGCTACATCGCCTGCATCAGGAATAAGAGTAGAACAATGATCATTTCCCTTGATGGCATAAAAAAGAAGTGTGTTTTTATATCAGTCTATGTACAGGTTTATTGAGTCTCTCAATTTTTACTCTTTAATAACAGAAAAAAAAAAAAAAAGAAAAAAAGAAAAAAAGGCAGTGGCAGGGTTGAGTATGAAAGTAGAGAGTGTCTTTTACTGGGATTCTTCCACTTTTAAAAATTTGCCCAATTCTAAACAAATGGCATTGTTTGTACATAACAAGGAATGGTCAGAAGTTGGGTCAGAGTTGCACGTGAACATCTTGCATTTTTTTTTTCTTTTGTTTGCAATATATTTATTTTGATTTTTGGTGTTTATTTTGATTTTCTTTGCCTTTATGATTGTGTTATCTCAAATCACATTTCCCCATTTGTTTTTCCCTTTGCTTCATCACTTGACATTCGCTACAAACAAAACTCCCCCACGTGGATGCTCCTTACTTTATATCTACATTAGCCAATTCATTTTCTTTTAGTCTTCTGGTTTGCCATTAAAGGGAGAGCCAGGGGCCCTACCCCTTAATTCAAATTTTTATTTAATTAATGCATTTAAGAATTTATGGGATTTTGTTCTTCCAACTGTTTTTGGAATACTTGTTTGTGTTCTAACAACAAATACTTCCATCAAATTCTAACTGCGTTGTCACACTTCAAGAATGAACCAAAGGGTATGTACTCCTTTCCATTTATCATCTTAGATTATAAAATTTTATTAACAAGTTAATTGTGATTTTAAGGATTTCTAATTAAAACTTTCGAAATTGGAAAATTATAGATATATATAAAGTTATAATCTACCTAGCTCTATGGCTTTTTGGTTAAATTATCAATTTGATTTACACGGTCCAAATTTGGTTAAATCTTATAGATTGCCTCTAAATTTAAATTCATCCAACCATTTTCTTTACTTTTTACTCGAGGATAAAATGTAATGTTGGGAATACAACCAAAGTCCTATATCAGTTTGGAAAGATGAAAATCCATAGTATATAAGGAATGGGGCAATATCTACATTAAGATGATGTCTTTTGAGAAACGTATTGGAGAATCCCTTGTCTGGATATATCTTGATATGATATTGTCCACTTTAGACATAAATTATCTTGATATTACTAACAGATATGGAACATTATGAAAAACGATACTAAACCACGAGATCAGATGGACTAAAGCTATCATCTGGTTTTTTCCAAGGATGGGTTTAGATGTAGATTTGAAGGGTAAAATAACATTGTATTAACAAGTGATTAAGCATGTTTTTTGGAAGCAAACTAGAGAAGGTGTATTCGTAGAATACGATGGAGTAATAACAGCTGGGTGTGTGGTACATGGTACAGTGGAAGATATTACAAGATTTGATGTCTAAAAATCAATTAATGTTGTTGTTGACTAAATAAGCCAGCTAAGCTAATCTCATCAACTTCAACCTTCACCGCCATTCTTTATAACACTCCCTTAGACCTAAAACCCAAACCCTATAATCTATAAGAAACTATAGTCTAGCTCATTTATTTTCCTTTTCGTTTTCCAAATAATTCATTTAATTTGTTGGTGCAAGTGTTCGTGAGGAATTTGGGAGAAGATTTTACTCGAATTAGTAATTTTGATCAGTATTTATGTAGGTAGTGTTACAATCTCGTCCTCTTATACTTTCTCTCAAGTGTAAACTTGATTTGAGTGTTGAAGAGCTTGTTCTCGTATAAAATAAATTGGTACCTTCAGCTTATAGTTTATGTTGAACTATTTTTGAGATTTTCGACTTGTAACTTGATGAAATATTTGGTTTGTAGCTTGATGAAGTCGTCGGCTTGTTGCTTGAATAAGGTTTTTGGGCTTACTAATGAAGTTCTTCGGCTTGTAGCTTGATGAAGTTTTTCGGTTTGTAGTTTGATGAAGTCCTTCGCTTGTATAGCTTGTAAAGTTATTCGGCTTGTAGTTTGTAAGATTATTCGGCTTGTAGTTTGTGAAGTTCTTTAGTTATACTTGATGAGTTCTTTCGGCTTATAGTTTGATGAAATTCTTCGATTTGTAGTTTGTGAAGTTCTTCGGATGTAGCTTGATGAAGTCTTCAAGTCTTCTTGCTTAAAAAGAGTTATTCTGTTGCTTGCTTGGCAAAGAGAAGATTCAATATTTTTTAATTATCGTTGTTTCAAGTCGTCAATTCTTTAAGTCAGGTTGGCTCTGGATGCATCACTATGAATTATTATATTTATAGTGTTAGTTGGTCTAATATGGGTCATGGGCTTAACGAGATTGGGCCAAATCTCCTTATAGGAGATCCAATTAGCTGATGTCATTAGACAATGGCATAATAGACTTTGTCGATTTTTAAATTATTTTAGGACGTCACATATAAATTTTTTATTAGTCCTATATATAATTTTAAATAATTACATGGTATTTAATCATTATCCAAAATTTTCTCCTTGTAATAATATAAGATAACTATCAAAACGTAATCTCCCTCAGTGAAAGAATGTTTCTCAGCCCATATTTGTTATAATACCAAAAAAATAAAAATAAAAAACCTCTCTTCTTAGATCGAATGTTTAAATCCTTTCTTGTTAAATTAAAGAAAAAAGGAAAAAGAAAATCGTTTAAATTTTAATTTTTATATGCATTACAATTTGAGAAGGATTCACGTTTTTTCATATGCCTTTTTAAGGAGACCGATTTCGCGAACTTTCTTGGGCCTTCTAATACATTGGATTGACCTGAATAACTTACCATAACTGTCATGTTAGTTATGGGCCAAGCCCATGGGCTTCAGAATTATACAAGGCCCCACCTTATAAGCCGAAGAAGCCGTCTCTGGAGAGATGCCCCACCACCCAATGTTTTGAGTTTAAATAGACTTCTTTTATACATATGTTGTTTTGAAAACGTTTAAAATTATAGACATTAATGAAATTGAATTCTCCCTACAAAAGTTATCTGCATAGATTATTAAAACTGTGGTGGAAAAAATCAATTAAGGCACATTTTTTATTTCTCAACTAAGAAAGAACTCATATAATTACAATCGAATGAAGTCGGCTGATTCAACCTAATCATATCATAAAGATCGTCAATCATCTAGAAAAATTCAAAAAATTTGTTCAACATCACTTCAGTCTTCAAGTTTTTAAAAATCAAAAGGGAATCAATTTTTTACATCGTGGCAGCAGAACACAAAAACCCCCTTATTATTCGCTAAATCCCAGCCCAGCCCAGCCCAGCCCAAAATATAACCACCAACAAAACACGCCATTTGGGCTCACTCGTCTCGTCACCGGCTGCCGCCTCTCGACGGCGAGGTTTCTCACTCCGGCGACTTCAGTTGTCGGAAAACAGAGACGAATGACGNAAAAAGGAAGCCATAGAACAGCCCTGAGGGTTGGGGTAGAGGGCACCCCCGGAACTACTTAATAAGAGCCTCCGAATTGTTAATAAACATCAAAAGAATTTTCTGTGGTTTGAAATCTACCAAGATTGTAGATGACTTTACACTATTAAAAAAAAAAATTCAAAAGAAGAAATATTATCTTCAAAAGCCTAACATTGTGTTCCACCTATAAGTACCATACAGACTTCGGACAATGGAATTCCAAATAATTTTTAGCTTGCCCTTGAAACCCCAGCCTCCCAAACATCCAATCGTCAATACGATAAGGCAAACACAAGTGAGACCTACCTCCTATGAAATGAAAGCCCATCCCCTATGAGCAAACTGAGACTGCGTAATGAGGCCTTAAAAGAGTTATGGCCCTTACCGTGAGAGACAGATTCTCTATGGAATAAGGTAATAGCAAGAAAGTATGGTACTCATCCATATTAATGGTGTCCGGTGGGGGTTCTAAAGGCACTTCTAGAATCTGTGGCTAGCCATCTCATTTGGCTTCCCTTGTTTTTCTCTGTTTGTTCATTGTTGGGTGGGGGATGACACTTAATACTTACTTTGGAGGATAGGTGCCTTAAGGATCATCCTTTTTTTTATTCCCTCGCCTATACCACCTTTCTTCCATAAGGGGTTGGCCGGTGGCATCAATTTTGCGTCTTCGTTAGGCAACCATTCTTCTTTATTCTTGGTTCCGTCGTCCTTTGCCGATAGGGAGACATCATATTTCATGGCCCTGTTGGCCTTGTTGGGGGACTTTGTTGTTAATCCGAGGAGGGATTCTCGTCTGTGGTCCCCTAATCTTCTAGAAGGATTTTCCAGCAAATCCTTCTACTCATGTGTGGTGGGCTCCCTTCCCTCTCGCTGTTTTATTTTTTCTTCGCTTTGGAAGGTTAAGATTTCAAAGAAGGTTAGATTTTTTTGTCTAACAGGTCTTACATGGAAGGGTTAATACTTTGGACCACATCTCGAGGCATTCTTCTGCTTTAAGCGGGCCCCGGTGCTGTATTCTTTGCAAGGAAGCCGCTGAGGATCTCGATCCGCTCTTTTCCTCTTCTTAGTTTGGTTTGTCTGTTTGGGACTGTTTGCTTCAGGTTTCTGGGGTTCGCTTTGCTCATGCAAGAAACTGCAACTCATGTTGGAGGGGGCTCTAATCACCCTCTGTTTAGGGAGGGAGGTCAGCTTTTGTGGCAAGCAAGTTGTCTAGCTATTATATGGAGTTTGCGGATCATGAGAAAAAACAAGATTTTTTAGAGGGGTTGAGAGATCTTGGGAGGATGTGTGATATCTTGCTCAATCTCATGTTCTCGTTTGGGCTAAAATGTCCAAAGACTTTTGTAATTACTCTCTAAGTTTGATCTTACTTGATTGGGTACATTCTTTTAGTTTGGCCCCTTTTCTTTTCTTGGGCTGTTTTTTCTAATACTCTTTTGTCTTCTTTCATTCTTCTCAATGAAAACTCAACTTTTCATAAAAGAAAACATAATAATAATAAATAATCCAGAGACCCATTGTCTTCATAGAAGAGATACAACACAGAGGGGACAAAGATCAATTTGGAGACTTCCTTTGCAATTTGTCCCGAGCATTGAGAGTTCTGAAGGCCAAAGACCTGAGCAAATTTCACCATTTTAGGAACTTTGAAATTTCATAATAGAAGGCCAACAAATATTGGATGCCATTTTAATTGCCTCAGTAGTGGCAGGGGAGTGGAAAGTGACGAAGAAGGTTTTTTGTAATTACTACACTCGATTATACATGATTGGAAAGTGGTGATTGTATAGTTCTTTAGGGAGGGTTTTCTCTGCCCTTCTTTAGGCTGTTTCTTTTTGGCTGTTTCGTTAGGGAGGGTTTTCTCTACCCTCTGTCTTTAGGCTGTTTAATTTTTGGCTGTTTCATTCTTGGATATATGGTTCTGTTTCTTATCAAAAGAAAAGAGAAAGAAAAAAAGAAAGACCAAAGGCCCTTTTATGAAGGTAGGCTTTGAAAAAGTGTGTGACAAAGTACACTGGACCTTCCTAGACGCCATTTTGGAGCTTAAGGGCTTTGGTGCTAAATGGAGAAAATAGATTTGGGGTTGCATCTATTCGATCTCCATTAAGATTAATGAGAGCCAAGATGACCCGCTCTCCCGATTTCTTTTTAGTATCTAGGGGGATGCTCTAAGCCATTTGATGCAGTTCTGTAGTGAGAAAAGAATTTTGGTTCCGCTATTGATAATCCCATTTTGAAAAAAAATCATGGAACACCCTACCAAATCGAATTTCAAAATATTCCATGCTTTTTTATAAAACTCATTTGTCATCCCATCGGGCCCTAGAGACTTCAAATTTCCCAAACCCACGACCGCTTTATGAATTTCCTCATCCAAGAAAGGGCCTTCGAGCACAGTTGTAATTTGGCAAATATTTCAATAGTTTGCTCCTCGGGAATGAGAAAAAATCAAGCCATAAGTAGAAAGTAGAACAGACAGGTCATTAGTTTAAACTAAAAACAAAGTTATTATCAAAAACCTAGGTCAGTTTTCTAAATTTAAAAATTTATCCTATGCATCCTCTGTTTTCTCTACGTCTATAAAACTAAAATTATTAAAATTATTTTTTCATGAAAAAGCTTCCAATAAAAGCTTTTTAAATGCACTAAAACGCTTATTGTTTCCCATCTAGCACTAAATACTCCAGTTGCACACAAACAAAAAAAAAGGAACTAATAGGTCACAATCATTGCAAGAAAATTCCAGGTTCGAAAAAGTAGATAATAGTAACAACCAACCAAAAAAAGAACTTGATGCAAGAGCTTTGATATTCTGAAGACACATTATGAAGTAGTTCCAGAGAAATATAAATGTTCTCTCTAGCCATAAAAAGAACAATCAGACAGTTGAGATGTTGCAATTAATGGACCTCATAGTAATTAGAGTATTAACTTGATACGACTCTAAGGTATCAAAATAGTTAAATTAAGAAGAAATGAACATACCACATAGCTTTAGAAGCGTGAACAGGGTTGCAGCAATGAAGAAAACCATGGAAATTGAGACCCAGAAGTGCTGGAACCAGAGATGAATAACTAAGTATGAAAATATCTAGGAAACGTTTTTTTAGAAGAGAGGGAGAGAACTCAAACTTGGAAATACTAAATGCTTGAGCATGATGGACCATATGGCCTAATTTACTAAGAGTTATACAGGATAACCAAGAAGCAAGGTAATCATTACATGGGTCTTTCAAGGATATGTTAGATCATAACCAAAAAATGTATCCGGATTTCAAGTAGAATAAGCAGGAAGATTCATATACTGGTGGTACCGATGAATAAATCGTCATCTTATTTTCCGGATGAAATAACTTTTTTCCTAAACAAAGATACAACGTACAAGTAAGAGTATGGAAACTTGAACCTTGGGATGAAAACCTAAAATTAACAAGACTTTGTCGATTAAACCTATCTAGCATGTTTTCTGATGAAACACATCGCAACTAAATAATTGACACCAGAGCACAAGCCCATTATGTCCAATGCCATTTGCCAGCAAAGAACAGTTGCTAAATGGGTAAAATATATATGTTTAATATGTATGAGTACTTCTCCTCAAAAAAGATATATATATATATATATATGTATGTATGAGTACTGCTTTAGCATGTATCACACTCAGCTAGATGATTAATCTCTTTAGTTTTTTAATTGATTCCTCCTACTCGGTTCAATTTCTAGATAGACAAGTTTTAACTATGTCCACATCAAGCACGAAAACCTTCAAAATAACAATAGGATACCTATTCCGGTGATGATACCACACTGTAGTCCCGGCTTCTGTAAATCATTTTCAATTGTATAGCATAAGGAGTTATACAGTGAATGGAAAATTCAGCCTAAATGATTGATGAAACTGCAGGATGTTTAGCAAGTCTAAGGTAATGTGCTACAAGAAAGTGTTGGTTTCACAATCATCAGCACACAAAAGCCTACACAATATTGCCCAGACAACAGCATGAAGATAAATTATTGACTTTATTTTTTAAGAAACAAATATTTCATTGATAGGATGAAATATACAAAAGAGAGAGTCCCAAAACTGGAGTTACAAAAAGGTCATCCAGTTCTTCAAGAGATCATTTAAGCTACAATCAGTAAGAGGAAGATAAATTATTGATACTATTGAAATATTGTCAAACGAAAATTTTGATCAACAAACAGTCAACTCTTAATATATGCAAAAGAAGAATTTTCCAACGTAACTTACAGGAAGTGTTTCCCATATAACTTCGTCGCTTACATTGTCTTCTTCATCTCCAGGTAGTAAGGCTTTACACATCCTACAAGGAAAAATTCATGAAAAGAATATCATACGAGGAAAATTACTAAAGTATTTTATCTCGAAGAAAAAGTGAGAGAAATAACATTGAAATATCAAATGACTAAAGGTTTAATTCTTTCTGAAAAAGTAATGGAATAACCTTTTTTCTTACAGTTTTTGGAATGTAAGGACAATTAGTCAATAACAGTCAAGATACAGACTATTCTATGTTTTGGGAGCAATGCAATAGTAAAGGGGAAGCATTTTTTGTTTTTTAACAAGAAACTTTTCATTGATAAATATATATTATAGTTAAGAAAAGAAGAAAATTCTTTGTACAATGCTATTAAGACCCTTCTTTGGTAACTTTGGCACGAAATATATAGAGGAACTTTCAATATAGTCGTGTGGATAACTATTTATTTTGGGAAAAGGTGGTTCGCTAGCTTCGAAATGGTGCTATCTTTGTAAATCTTTTCTTAATTACTCTTTGTTAGATGTTGGTGCCAATTGGGAGTGCATTCATGTAAGCCTCCTCCATGTGTATGACAATGCCCCATCGTCGTCTTTTTTGTACTACATTATAAATAAAAATGTTTCTTTCTCCAGAAGTTAAAAAAAAAAAGAGAGAGAGAGAGAAATTACTAAACTTACCATTTTTCTGGAGGTAAAGAGAAACAATTGACCAAAAATTTATGGAAAACTTGTGGAATAAAATGATTGTACCTGACATTATCGACCAAAATTGCAAGCTCAAATATCATGAGGGGAACAAAGACAATCTTCAAATTTACAACTGCAGTAAAATTAAACTACATTATGATTAACTACATGTGAATATTACAGAATAATCTCTTTATTCTACTGGACCCCTATTAATGTGCAGACTTTGGTGGAAAATCCAAGTCTCTTGATCTCATCTCCATTTATAAGCCTACATGGATGAATATCTTTAAATACATGGGAACAAACACCCCACCAACCCAAGGAGAAACAATAAGTTAATGACTAAAGAGGCAACCTACCATTACTGCACTCTAAGAATATACAAAGAAGTAGTTCGAAAGCAACAAGTAATGGTGTTGCCATGACAGCATGCCACGGTGCCCACTGTGTATCAGAGAGGAATGTTTAAATGTTTGTTCTTTACATAGGAAAATCAAAACAAAGGAGAAGTAAATCTCAGATATGTACAAGCACAGAAATGGCTAGAATGAATAATGAGGCTAAATAACAAAGTAGATAAATCACATACATAACGGTCATGAGGCATGGTTGGAGCAGGTAGAGAAAACCTGCCTCTTGCTGCAACTAGATGAAAAAGCCATAGAGGTGAAAATACAATCCTGAAGAGAAAAATGAAAACTTGAATCTATCGGTAAATTTAGATGTTAAGATTGGGAAGGAGTGGGGAGCGACTTTTCCCATGCATTCTCACAAAGGTCCAACGAGTAAAATACAAAAAAGTAGATGCAATACAAAACCCAAAAGGTAGATTTGCAGAATAAAACATTGTGTCAAATTATGCTTGCTGTTTTCCAACTTTCAAGTAAACAACAACAAATCTTCTCCTTATTTACGTTGTTCGCCTAATGGCAGTTCAGTCGTTATGAAGCAGAAATCTCCATACGTCTATAAAGCTAAGTTAAACAAACCATGTTGTGCACAAATTGGAATGTAATTTCCATTCGTATGTACACATCATAACTGTTGAGCCCCTTTAATCCCATCAGACAAGACAAGCAAGCAGTAGTTCATTATTTTCACCACCTTGCTGGCATGAAAATTTGGAAGTTAAAGTAAAATATCAAGAAAAGGACATCTAAAGCTTAAACAAACAGTAAACGTTAAATTCACTTTGTAGTTTGCAGACTGCAGTTACATTACAAGAAATAATTTTGTGGTTCATGGTAGATGCACGTATACAATTTCAGGTACAAATTTACATTTAAAATATCCATCTCAATAATACTGGGTAAACGCAACCAATCCTCCAAACAAATTTTAAGAGAAAAAGGAATCCAAGCCTGTATAGTACCCAATACCAAGCCCAAGAAGACACTCTTCAAGTCTATATATTTGAACCTTAACTTCAAAATAGCCCTCACAAATGGATTAAAGCCTATCTGTAGACTTGGTATCTCATAGGCCTCCGGCCTCCCTTATATTCAAGTTAAGCCTGTACATTATTCTTCCACAACCCTAAGTCAAGACTCAAAATATCATAGGCTCACAACATATTCAGCAATCCTAGTTTCATAAGATAGGACTTTCTTTCCTTTTAGAAAGGCATGTTTATGTAATGACAGGCATTAGAAAGCCAGTTTTTAATGGTCAGATTATGATTCTGAGTCTCCTCCTTTCTGGTATTCACCACCAAAATGGACCAAGAGTAAAAATAACTGCCGTAACCTTCTTTTCAACAAGCAAACATAGTTGAAATTTCAAAAAATATGATCAGAGGAATTTTAATTTTTGTGGGGCCCACCTGCAGGTTACCAGAAAGTGAAATAACTGCTAAATAACTTTATTTCAAAGTTCAAACCCCAAGCCCATATGTAGGTCCCTCCATACTTACCAGAAAGTGAAATAACTGCGAAACAACTATTGAAACCCATTCATCAAGAAAGAGAGAGAGAGAGAGAGAGAGAGAGGAAAAAAAAACAATGCTTTAAATGTGGTTCGCTCCCAAAGAAACAAAGCCTTGAATTCGGTTACCAAAGTTTACCACATTAAAACAGTGTTTTAAACAGAGCAGGGCCACCAGAAATTGCGGAAAGACAATGCAACTTTGCTTCAAGTAAAAACGAAATATGGCTTCACCATATTCTAATTTCCTTGGGGCGCAAAAAAGAAAAAGATAAAAAAAAAAAAGATAAGATCACCAAACAAAACCGATAAAACATCAACACATACACTCCAATTCACCCTCTCAAGAAAACCACTTGAGAATTTAGAGCTATAAAAGCTCAAATCACAAGAAAATAGAAATGGGTTCCACAAATTATTTTGCAAAATGAAATTGCAGAGAAGTTGAAGAAGAAATTGAGAGAGGTACGAACCACCAGGAGTAGGAGACGGCTTGGTCGAGCTTGAGAGCAACCAAAAGCGTGAAGGATAAAAGAAAACCGTGAGCTGCCAGAGCCTGAAGGGACTTGAACCCCCTCCGCCATGTCAATACTCTGGTCTCTACCACCATACCAAGAAACAGTTTCCCTCTTCACTTGTTAGGGGCAGAGGAACACTGAGCAAAAGAGAGAGCCACTTTCCTCTCTCTATCTCTCTCTCAAAATGTTGCAACGCAGAAACTGAGGAAATGGAAATGGCGAAATGGGAAGTGGAAAGTGGGGCATAGCATAGCAAAGATTCCTGAGCGGTTTCAAGGCTTGGCTTTTACGCTAAACAACGAAAGAGGCGTTAATGAGCAAGCGTTGAAAATAGTCTATTTTCTTTGACGAAAATACCCTTTTGATTCATTTTAATTCGTCAACTTCATTCCACCCAAGTTTTAGGTCCCACCTCTAAGAAATGAGCAAAGTACCGTCACCACTAAACTAAGTTCCTATTGGCGTTTTTGGAGGGAAAAATACGCTACGACACATGGACCCGACAATTTAGCTTGATATCATCTGAAGCAGTCAACAAAGTTGATAGGATAGACCGACCTGGTTAAGAAGCAAGCTGGAGACTAGAACTTGGGAAGACTCACCTAAAGTTCTACAAGCCGACCTAAAGACTTC